TCCACGGTACAAAAAAAAAAAAAAAAAAAACGAGAGAAGAAAGTCGAGACGATGTGGGAGCGTTTCGTTTTTGTACGATGGAAAAGCTGACTGTTAACACCGATTACCGTGAACTGTAACCTTCGTTCGTCCTTTCTACTAGATTAATCGCAAATTTCCCCTAGAATGAGCTAGAACGTTATTTAAGCACAGAATTTTGAGCAACAAATTCGAAATGCTCCAAAATGTATGGAAAATAACAATTCTTTATTTCGATTGCAACGTGCAAGAGTTAAATAAAAATTTCGTAAAATCTTCAACATATTTAATAAGAGTTGAAAACAAACTAACAGCATTTTTGCATTTATCCTGTATATTTACTGTTTTGTATTCTACTTATTCACTTTTGTTGTAAATGCACAAAACCCGCAGTCTGGATCAAACATATCAGAAAACGTCTCCTAGTTTCAATTATCTCGCAATACAATATTTTGTTGAGATCTCGAAGGTCTTCAGAGTACATAAAACATCGCTACATCATTGCAGGAAACAATTGCCAAACTGTATTTCGTCCTGCGATCATTTTGACAAGACCAATTCAATTTTGTCAATCTTTCTCCGTATCTGCAACAAATGCGTCAGATGCGCCTAATGCAAACCAAAGACAATCTAAATAAATGTTGGCGACCTTTGGTTCGTGGGTTAAAATCAACCAAAAAGGTTAAAAAGTCGTTTCGGGTCAGTGGTGTCTTCATTTTAAGAGTCTTTTAGTGAATAATATAACAAATTTTGTTGAGGAAATAATTACAATATGTTGTTAAACTTTAAACATAAACATTCAAAATTATAATTCCAATTATCATAAAAAGAAATATAATTGTCAAATTATCAAATGCTTTGCCGACGCCCAATACTAAACCGTTAAAAAATTTTAAAGAGGGCAAACGCCAACATAAAACAAATTCTTCTATAAATCTGCGGACTTGTATATTGGACGTGGGACAAAAAGAAATCGGATTATTCGTGCATGGTCGGGTGTAACAAACAGATCCAGTCGCGGGACCCGTTGTTCGAAAAGCGAGATCGTAAGGCGGATCCAATAAGAATCCTCCGGCTTTCAATCGTCGCCGATTTTACGATCGATTCTCGAAAATTTCCTGCCCCGCGATAAAAATCCGGTCGTCGCCAGTCGGTTCGCTGAAAATTTTACGCGCGACAAACACGCCCGATCCGTTCCGTTCCGCTCCGCTCCCGTCGGTCTCGGCTTTAGATCGGGTTTGTATCGTTATCCCATCCCGCGGATACGATCCGGCCGGTCGTAAACCGAAGCCGGAAGACAGTAGCCCGCTTAATGCCGCGCCAAACTCCCCCTCGCGTCTTTTCCCCGTTTATACGAACCCCGACGTTTCAGGGGGTTGAAGTTTTCCGAGACACGCTCGCCGCGTCTCGCGAACGACGCGACGCGACGCGCGAAGCTATGATATTTAGTAGGTGACGAAACGGTCCACTTACCGTCTCGGGACACCATCGTTACCGTTAAGTGTACCCGGTTATTTCTGTTAGGTAATGCGTCGAGCGGCAGTAACCGCAGGTGGTTGATAAATTATTAATTGACCGCCGCGATCGAATTCGGACGGCGAGACACGCGCGCGCTTTGTGGTCAGCGCGTACTTTTCTCTACGACTTGCTCCTCTTTGCCGACGTTTAACAGTAGTTTCGTCGAATTCCTCGAAGCGAATAACTTCAGGTTCTTCCTTTTAATATCGTCGGGATCGTGTGCATACGGTAAATCAGTAAATTCTCCCCGATTGTCCCACAACTTCCAGACAGAAATGGACAATTCGGGAAGAGAAGATTATTCGAGCCTCGTGGCTCGTTTTGATAGTCGTTGACCATCGGCGACTTTAAAAACGAGCCTCGAGGCTCGAGTAATCGTATCTCCTGTTCCCAAATTGTCCATTTTTGTGGACAAGCTGAGGGCCAATTAGGGAGAATTTACTGTACTCTTTAAGACAACTACTGGACTTATTCATTCAAGGTACTTTATAATAAAGATCTCGCACAATTTTTGCTTAAATTGAATTTTTCTATGACATCGATATTGCGAAAAGTTTTTATTAAAATCCTATGAAATGACCCGAATGAAAGACTCTTAATCGATCTGTATTTTAATTAAATTTTATGTACAATCTTAATGTGTGGAAATCACAGCGCTCCATTTCACGCCAGTGTAAACACGAATGTCTGCAATAATACGCTGCGTCTAATAACTATAAAACCACCCAAAGAAATTCCAGTTTTTATACGTAACAGTTAATGCAATAATGAATGAAATATTCCATATTTGAAACCGTATTGAAATCTTTTCAGAAGGACAGATTTTGTAAGTAACATCGAGTCGGTAGAGTTTTATAACTATAGAACCAAGTAAGGTAAAGGTTGTTTTTCGCGGATATAGAAAAACGCGGATATTTTTTGCTTCAACACGCATTATTAAATTATTGTTATATTCTCAATTTATTGTATCTTGCGTGGGAATTTTTGCGTGATAAAGTGTTCTATTCCGTTGGTCCTGTAGTTACGAAACAAAATACTTCATTCATTATTATATATTAATTACAACGTATAAAAACTGATAATTTTCGAGTGATTTTCTAGTTATAAGACGCGGTACAGTAAATTCTCCCGAATTTTCCTACAGCTTGTAAACAAAAATGGACAATTTGGGAAGAGGAGATACGATTATTCGAGCCTTGGCGTCTCGTTTTTATAGAATATCAAATTTGTATAAAATAACCTTGACAATCGACAACTATAAAAACGAGAAAATGCTCGAATACTAACTCTAATACTACACTCTACCAACTATAAAGGCACGAATGATCGTATCCGCTCTTCCCAAATTATCCATTTCGATAAGCAAGCTGAATGAAAATTAGGAAGAATTTGCTGTATATATTTAGTTTGAAACAACGAGAATCTCATAAAAATGTAAGAAGCTCGATAGGCTATCACACAATCCACCTTCCCCAACTTTTCTTTCATCGGAGACACCTCACCCAGCCCCCTCTCTGTAGCCAGATCTCTCTCTCTCTCTCCAGAACACCCTTATCTCTCAACACATGACGTTCAGCACCACTTTGATTCATCGGCCACACTTTGGCGATAGGATGCCGCCTTTTTCTCACTGATCTAATAAACACACGACATCCGCGATTCTTCGAGTTGGTCGCACCGAAAGGCAATCCCCCCCGGCTATCAGTGGCCCCAAGGTCAAAGAGCCTCGAGAGGGTCGAAGCCGCCGATTAGGAAGCCTCTACGACGCTAACACAATGCGGAAAGATGGACCGGACTGGACCTGTCTGATGATTTTGCAGATGCTGTCGGTGAGCCCAGGAATGGAGGTAGGAAATGGCGCTCACGGTGGCCTCGGCGGTGGACTGGAGGGTGATCCGAGCGGTGGTGGCGCCGGCGTGGGCGGCGGCGGGGGCGGAGGAGGCGGCGGCGTCGGCGAAGGAGCCACCGACGGGATGCAGGAGGCGATGGTGGCCGCCGCCAGGGATAGGGCGATTCGCGCCGGAAGCGTCCGGCAGGACCTCGCCCTCGACCTACCCCCACGGCTCCAACTTCCGGACGGCGAGGAGCGTCCTTACGGAGCGCACACCGCCCTCCACCTGCGCGACCCCGAACAGGTGAGGCCAGACACTTTTTCCAAAATTCATCCTACCTTACACTCCATTTGCTGTGCCGGAGTCGCTGGTGACTGGTCCGAGACCAAAACGAACGGTTCTGCGAGTTTGCCCTATAGTCGTGGACAAGCATTTCGTTCCAACCGATTGCAAATTTATGGGAAACAAACACAAGTCGCTTCGTCCACCTTTGAGAAAGTTATTCTGCTTTAACCCTTTGCGGACGAAGCCGCTCGACGTCGCTGTGGACGACAGGTAGTGGATATAAAATAAAAATGTTATAAGATATAATTATATTATTATAAGATTGTAAATGTGTGGAAAACTTTGCTGGTTTCTCTTGTTAGTGACACAGAAAGACTGACTCGTCAAACTGAAATTCGTTCTGAACCTACGGTTATATTAATAAATTTACATTAATAACTAACACTATGCCGTCCGCAGATCTTAGATATGATTCTTTTGTTCGACGCCGGCATAATAGCTTGGAAATTTTAGATTTTAAAGAAAATTTCGAAGATGGTGGTAATATACATTTCTAAAATTAAGATAAGTCGTCCAAGAATTTTAGTACTTAATTCTTAGTTAAACAAGCACAATGCTATAGTTAGTTTGCTGCCTTTTAACACCCAAGAAATATAGTTCAAATGTTATTTCAGTTTTTTCAAATGGCACAAAAGTGGCACCACCGGCATACAACAGATAGTTTTTGCATGGCACCAGCGTGGTGCCACCAAACGGCATAGTGTAAATTAATAAAAAGAAAAGACGGTAAAAAGACTTGGGCGCAAAGGGTTGAAAGGTGTCTGAATATTAACGCGAGTCACTGTACGTGGAAATGTGGGCACCTCTCGAAACGGAATAATTTTCTCAAAATTGTACAAAACCAGTCGAATTTCGTTTAAATGTTAGAAGGACTAGCTTGATAAACAATGCGTACAGAAATTACCGCAAAAATAGCTAATTCGATGGAACGCATCGTGTAGCGAACCAGTCGTTTCATCGTCTCGAAAAAAATTGAAAACGTTGGGTCCACGGTTGGAAAAGTTATTCCGTTTTGAAAGGTGCCCGTATATGCTCACACATACACGACTGTGCGTATTTGCGAAATGTCTGCGCGAGTGGTAAATGACTACGCCGCAAGTTTAGAAGTCCTTGGTAGCCCGAGGGTGCTCGCGTTTGCTACCAGGATCACATATAATGGGGCGACACGATCTCCTACTTTACACGAAGTTAGTCGAACTCATTTCGTGCACGTTGCTATGTAAAGACATAGCGCATGGCACGGTACTCAGCGGTCCATCACTTTCGTTTCCTAAATTGTTTGAATACTTTTACAAAGGACTCTGCACTTAACCGTTCGAGTCCCAAGCAGCGCGATCGCGCTGTTGAGATTTTCTGTCGAGAAAACCCAGCACATTTCGAACATCGTGGACAACCGACGGGTGCGTTACCGATTGTCGAAGTGTGCTCAGATTTATTGAAGTAAGTATGGTTGGAAACTATGAAACGAACGTTTTTGTTTAGTCTGTGTTCAGCTGTGACTGCGTTCATTGCAATGTGCGCTCGATATTTTGATTTATAAATTTTAAAGGTATCCTTCTTACTCGTTTCGTAAAATTTTGTTCGTGTTTGCATCCCATTTTTATCTTATTTTTCTCCGAAACCAGATGGAAACGAAACGCGATTTACATCACTCAACGCCCGTTTCATAGTTTCCAACCAATACATCACGCAGCTCCTTTTAATGTAAATGGTACATTTTACAATAGGTAAAATAATGCTATAATAATGCAGTAACACATTACAAAGTAGAAATTTTTAATTCATTATCATTGCGCCGCTTGGTATTTCTCGACATAAGATAAAACAAGCGCTATCGCGCTGCTTGGGTCTTTTCGTACTCGTTTAGAGAAAGCGCGGTTGCGCTGTTTGGGATTTTTCGACAGTGTTTTTTCAATAGCCCTTGGAACTCAAACGGTTAAAGGAACGTTTTAACAATGAAGGGAGGCAATGAAAAGATGGTGGCGGTGGTGAGTGGGTTAAATCCGTTTACAGAAAAATTGAGGAAGGAGAAAGGGGTCCTATGACGTTTCGCAAATAAGCTAACTTAACTAATGAGGAGGTCTTACGACGAATACATTTAAGATAGAGCTTGCAGCATCCCGTAATTATTAACGCGGTGATCGTAAAGAGCCGAGTGATACGATTAAAGTCTTTTTTACAAGGACGATAAACAAACTATGATGCGCATAAAAATTACTACGTGAATCGAGACGCCTCGTCTCGTCGATTGAGAGCCGACTTCTCAAGAAACCCGCGTCGATCATACTGCCGCATATGTAGATCCTTACGCAACTTTATCGAAAACGTACGCGAGATGCGCAATAATAATTCAACGCTATTTCTCACTTCACCGCCAATTTGTTGAAATCAGAGACCAAAGGGGAAACTTCGTTTTAGCTTCAGCCCTTCGAAAGAGCATCAAAGAAACTTCGTCTTGCACAAAATACCACTTGGAATCTCCGTTTTCGCAGATTATTTTAATTACTCGACGGCAAAGGGAGATTTTATCTTTGAACTAAAAAGAGCGAACGTCGGGGGAACACAGAAAAACAGTTTGCCGACCATGACCAACAGCCGAGTCTTTAATCTTTCTAACATCTAGAAACGATTGTCGCATTAAAACCGCCCGCGTTTTAAGAAACCGCGTACACGTCGCGCACGCGAGGCTTTTTTTCTTCTTTTTCTTTTTCTCTTTTTTTTTTTTGAAAAAAAAGGCATCACAAGGATGAAATTACGTCAGGGAGATCAAAGTTCTTTGAGCGAGCCGTTTGAAGCCGTCTTTGAACGGCGCGCGTGAACACAGCATTCGAGGGCCGCGACAGAGGTTCGCGCAGTTTCCCCGGACGCGTTTTCCATTTATTAAACGGCCGTTGATTAGCGGCCGGTAATAAGCGCGCGTTTTCGAAGAGGCGCGCACGGCCGCTGGGTAATAACGCGTGTAAAAACGGATAAATTGTCCACGGTCCGTGTGCTACCGCCGGCTAGAACATGCTCGCTTTCAGGCATTAGCCTCTCGACGCGCGACTCGCAGGTGTTGAGCGGAGTCGCGCGCGTTTATCAGGCTCCGCGCTCGTATCGTCCGTTAATATCGCAGTTCCCGGTGTGTCCATTAACCGTGCACTCGGTAATTAGCCCCGTTGATCGCGGCGTTCTGCGACGTTATTCGCGACTTGGGTCCTTCGCGCGTCAAACGTCTCAAGAGAGAGAAAGAAAGAGAGAGAGAGATAGATAGAGATAGATAGAGGAGAGAGAGAGAGAGAGAGAGAGGGAGAGGGAGATGAGCCAGAGCCGCATGGAAATTCAGTCGGTCGTTAAAAGCGTCCGCGCGAGTGTTTTACGAATTTTTCGGGATCTTTAGATAGCGCTCGAGCGCCGATTTCCGTCCCACCCCCTTGGGTCCCGGCAATTAATGTCGACCCGAACACGCTAATTGGCTCGGAATATTCCAAGGCGCAATCAACGCGCCGAGCCGAGACGGGCCGGCCCGCGTAACGCGCGCGCGCGCCCTCTTAAAATATTCCCGATGGAGGAGAGCTTTTTCGAGCCGCTTAATCGGGTTTCTTCGACGGGACTTGATTTCCCTCGGGAGATCAACCACGGTTAATACTCGCTCGATATCTTGAAACGTCGCGAGACGCGATCCGCTGTTCTCGCCTGGCCTACCGCGCACCAACACATCTACCATGTGTTGCTCGTTATCATCGGATCGCAAATCTTTGTGCAAAATAAAAATTCTCCATGTTAATCGCGGTTAATAGTAAACCTTTAATTATATTTCTCTTCTCTTTAAAGTCGAAAATTCCGTAACAATATCCTTCGATTTGTCTAATGAATGTTTTTTCAATTTTATGCTTAACCTATGCAGTTTCGTCACAAATGCATCAAATTCGCAATCTAGTGATCACTCTTCAACGCGTCAAGTGTCGCATACCAATCCCAAAAAACGCATTAATCGTTCAAATTTTGTATTTACATGTACACTCGTATTATCGTTAATAGACCGAGGATTTCGAATACATTTATGAGAAAAGTGAACAGATCGAACACAAAACTGTAAAGACGTTAAAAGAATTCATAGATGTTGTTACATTGTGTACAACTCGTTACAATTACTAGAAGAGAAAATACATTTTCATTTTACTTACATTCCTTGTAATTGAGTTCGATAGTTCTTATTTTTGCATAAAGATCCAATAATGACAAAGAGATCGTTTGTATTCTCAAGAATTAGAACAAAATACCAATTATGCGATCCGAAAAATGAATTTCCAGTTCACTGAATTATCATGCATCACTCGTAACTTATATCTTGTTTTCACCTATCGATTAAATCCCAAACTTTAATAGCGACTAAATATGATAAATAATATAAATTATGATTATTATTATTATATATATTTAAATTATTATTATTATATATATTTAAATTATTATATATTTATATTATAATATAAATTATGATATTTTCAGGAAATGAGAGATGCATGAGGTCATTTGAAGTAACTTTTTCCTTAGCAAAAATGTTCTACGAGGCTTCGTTCACGAGTAATTAACGAAAAACATTGACCAATGAGAGGCGAGCTCGCCTAGCGCTAGGCGATCGAGCCAACGAGCGATGCAAGCCCAGTTCCGTTGATTGGCTCGGCCGCCTAGCGCTAAGCGAGCTCGCTTCTCATTGGTCACAGTTTTTCGTCAATAACTCGTAAACAAAGCCTCGTAGAACATTTTCGCTAAGAAAAAAATTACTGCAAATGATCTCAGGAACTCCTCATTTCCCGGAAGTACCATAATTTTGAGATGTTCCTGTATAACGGAACGTCGATTATTCGGGTTAAGCAGAGTAACGCGAATGTTCGGATAATCGAGCAGTTACGAACTTACAGTGTGAAATTTCATCTTCATCGATTTATAAATTAAATCGCATTGTATTTGGCAGGGCTGGCCAAAGCATCGACCGTCCGTCTGATATTATCTACGCGTTCATTTTAAAATTAAACTTATTTCCAGCTTTAGATTACTACTTTTCTTGTGACCACTTAACACATACGATGTTGGCAGACCGCCGGCTATAATTTAAAAAAACAGGTCGCCCATGGTGGTCAAAAGTTTGTCCACCCTGGTGTATCGGTTACCCTAAATTCGGTCGATCACGCGTGAAAAATCTACTTGGAGAAGCTGAAAATTTCATTGAAATCGTGTGACGCATAGTTCAAAAATGGAAAAATTGCCTGCTTTTTATTGAAATTCGTAAAAATCTGCGACCTTCAATTGCCCGTAGCTCACAACAACGTCACCCAATATCAACAAAATTTTCAGTTTGCACGTAATTTACCTAGATCTACGAAACGCATTTTTTAAATTTCCAGGTTCGAATGAAAAAGTTAAACCCGAGCGTTCCTCACTTTTTTGTATCATTCCAAGAAACAGCAAAATTACCAAAAAGTATTTTAGCCATCGCACGGCAAATATCTCTAAACGGAGGACCGGATAATCGCGGTTGAAAAATGATTTCCGTGATAGAATGCACTGCTCGCGCACAGGCGAATTCGCAGCCGGTTGCGGGGCTGAAAGTTAGGTGCTCACGAAAATTCCTCGGCCAAGAGACCACCACTTTAGACCCAAAGACCGGGGTCCCCGCCGTGGACTCACCCCCAAAATCTGCAACAATGGCCGAGAGGGCCATTTGCGGGCATGTTCTCGATGAACCGCATATCCGAGAATATTCTCGCAACAAGGAAGCGAAGGTTGGGATCGGGCTCTACCCTCTCGAGGCTTCTGGATGCCAGCATCGAGCTGGAGCAGCAGCGCGTCTTCTGAACGGCTCTCGAGGGTCACCGGTTAGAATTTCAGTAATCCTACGCCCCTGCCGCGCGCGAGTTGCTACCCGTTCAAGGAACACGCCTCGCATTCTAGCGAACTGTTCGGCGAACGACCGAAAAAATATTTATTTATTCGCGGCGGATTCCCGTTCGCTACACCGATTCCTATTGCGCTTCGTCATCGGCGAGCGTTCGCGAATATTAAACGACCGCCGGGGTCACGGGCTGTATTCCGATTGATTGGCTTCGAACGCGTTCGATCGACGTCTGCCACTGGTTTGCGAATTTTCTTGGTGCCCGCCGATTGGTCCTGGCTGCTGCAGCCCGAATCGCTGGGGGCTCGCGGATTCGTTACACAAATCATTCATCCGTTGATTAGAATTTCCGCGGTGCTCGCGGTCTTGGCGCGAAAGTCGAGAAAGTCCGCTTCGCGGGAAAATTGTGCCCGTTAATTTTCTATTATTTTCTCCGGGAACTGGACGGCGCTCTAGATACGGGCTTGACCTTCCGATCTTCGGATAATAGATAAAAAAAGAAAGAAATCCGATTCGAGACTGCCGGGCGTGAATCACGTCTAGAGGAAACTTTCATCTGAATTTCAGCAGAGCGGTCGAAGATGCTTTGACGTCGATATGTGTCAGTAAACTCTTGCTCCTCGCATACTCTGTGTTCACCGCACCGGAACGTTGATCAGCCAATCGGTTTAATTGCCCTGCTGATCAATTAAAAACCGGTGGAGAGCGCCGCAGATGGGGTTCAGACGGCAGCACCATGTGCGCCGATGTTGCTAGGGTTGAAGAAACATGAAAATAATATCTATTGCTTCCACATACCACCGCGGTAATTAGAACTCGGCTAGGATTGTGTGCTGCTGTAAAACGAAATCTAACGTTTAATCTTTAAATTAACGATGAAGGCTAACAATGCTGGCTGAACGTTGCGATATTTAATAAATATTCCCAAAATGGGAATGTGAATAGGGTTGACGTTGGCATATCTCGTTGGAAGTATCGGTTGTGTCTTTTCTTTTTCTTAATGTCAGTAGACAATGTTTGTCGAATGACTTATCATACCACGATCTTCGTTACAAGCTTTAATACAACCTCTGCCGAAAAGTATTCGATCGCCTTTTAAAACGGAATAACTCTTTTCAAACTGGTCTGACTTGATTCGAATCTTTTTTCAAACGTTAAAGAGATTAGTTTATGGTCCAGAAGCTTGCATACTTTTTGTTCATTCTGATGTTACATAAAATGACAGAAAAAGATAGAAAACAGTCGTTTTTTAACTTTTTCATCTGAACCTGGAACGAAAATTTAAAAAATGCATTTGATGCATCTCGGTTACTTGTATGCAAACTGAAAATTTCATTGAAATCGGTTGACGCACGCTCAAGCTCGATGACGAAAAAATGACCTGTTTTTGGTTGAAATTCGTAAAAAAAACTGCAATTTTCACGATCTTCAATTGTTTGTAGCTCGTAACAATGTGAACGAGTTTCGATAAAATTTTCGGTATGCATCCAATTTACCTAGGTCTACGAAAAACGCATTTTTTAAATTTTCATTCCAGGTTCAAATAAAAAAGTGAATCACGAGCGTTTCTTATTCTTTTGTCTCATTGCAAGCAATAGCAAAATTAACAAGAAGTATTTTAGTCATCGTGCAGAAAACAAGTATTAAAAAGTATTTAAGAAAGTATTTAAAAGTATTTTACAAGTATTTAAAAAAGTTATTGCATTTTGAAAGATGGAGGAATACTTTTTGCTCGACGCTGTATTTTTTTTACGACACTGTAGTCTCTGTAGTCTCTTCAGATATTAACGCTACAACGATAAAACGCGTTTCTAAAAAAGGATAGATTCGCGTTTAATTCTTTGGCGTCGCAGTTACTTGTACATTAGCAATTTGATGGATCGGTAATCAAGAAGTTACGTCGAGCATCAAAATGTAATCAAACTTTAACCCTTCGCGGCCTCGGAAGACTTCGCCCTTTCGTTCCGGTTTGCCTACATTTATTTGACCATGTTCCGCACCATCCACCAAATTCACTGTATTTAAACAACTCAAGATCTAAGTGGCAAGATTGAAAGTCATTTATGTGTATTCGAAAGAAATATTTAATAACTAGAAAAACCTTCGCGTACAATCTAAATGTTTAAAAAAATATATAGAAAAAGCAGAGAAAACTGCTTCATCTAACCAGCTAGCTGTTGCCAAACTCTTAAAAAAGAGAGTACGTAGAATGTGTCGCAAAAAGTAAGCGACGACAACTATACTACAGCTTTTCATAATAATTATTTATATATATATTTATATATATATATATATATATATATATATATTTATATATATATATATATATATATATGATTTATTAATAAATAAATAAGTATTTAAATGAATATGTAAATAAATATACAAATATATAATTAAATATGTAAATACATCAATAAATATATAAATATATAATTAAATATATATATTATATATAATAATTAATTAATAATAAATTTTCTTTTAATAAATTCGTTAATAAATTTTCTCCAAATATTCGCGCGAAGCGTCTTACACGAACATATTTCAGTTTCCACGAAACTTGCAAAATAAACAGCAAAGTTTTACGCACAGCGAGCATACTCGTCGCAGCACAAAATATTGCCATATTTCGTGACGAGTGCGCTCGCGAAAAACGGCTAACGAATCAACAGAACTTGCGAAACGCCCTTAAAAAAACCTAAAGTTTGGTTTAGGATCACGGTACCCGGCACATCGACCCTTATAACAGTTCGACCCAGCCATCGTCGGAAGCTATCGAATCCCTGACTGACGGTGTCCCTATTTTTCCAGGAGAGCGAGATATACCAGAAGTGCGTGCGACCGCCGCCAAACCGGACGGTGTTCGACAGCGAGAGCCCGCCGCCTTACAGGAGCCAATCGGCGTTGTTGGACGCGCCGGACCGGATAGTCCGTTGCCACAGCGCTGGCAGTTCGTTGCTGAGGGTGTTCCGAAAGTTCCCGAGTCCCGGCAGCTCGACACCGGCCGTGGTGGTGCCGCCGAGGAGGCCGACCCTGTCCAGTTATTCCGAGTCGAGCAGCAACCTGAGCAACCTGTCCAGCCTGACGGTGGTGCCGTGCGAGGCGGACGAGAGCCAGCAGCAACAGCACCACCACCACCATCAGCAGCACGTCTGATCCGAGGCGCGGCCGAGAAGAAGGAGAACACTCGAGGCCACGATGACAGCGGGGAGAGAGTTCCTGCTCGAGGTCGACGGTCGTCGAACAAGGATCTCGTGGAAGCGGCGACGAGCCGGCGGCGGCGGCACGGACCAAGCGAAACGGAACAAGGAAGAAGCTGACGACGAGGGCGAAGCGCGAGCGAGACGCGAAGAAACCGCGGCGGAACAAGGAGAGCAGGGGGACGAAGGGGAGGAAGACGGGGGGNTAGCAATTTGATGGATCGGTAATCAAGAAGTTACGTCGAGCATCAAAATGTAATCAAACTTTAACCCTTCGCGGCCTCGGAAGACTTCGCCCTTTCGTTCCGGTTTGCCTACATTTATTTGACCATGTTCCGCACCATCCACCAAATTCACTGTATTTAAACAACTCAAGATCTAAGTGGCAAGATTGAAAGTCATTTATGTGTATTCGAAAGAAATATTTAATAACTAGAAAAACCTTCGCGTACAATCTAAATGTTTAAAAAAATATATAGAAAAAGCAGAGAAAACTGCTTCATCTAACCAGCTAGCTGTTGCCAAACTCTTAAAAAAGAGAGTACGTAGAATGTGTCGCAAAAAGTAAGCGACGACAACTATACTACAGCTTTTCATAATAATTATTTATATATATATTTATATATATATATATATATATATATATATATTTATATATATATATATATATATATATGATTTATTAATAAATAAATAAGTATATAAATGAATATGTAAATAAATATACAAATATATAATTAAATATGTAAATACATCAATAAATATATAAATATATAATTAAATATATATATTATATATAATAATTAATTAATAATAAATTTTCTTTTAATAAATTCGTTAATAAATTTTCTCCAAATATTCGCGCGAAGCGTCTTACACGAACATATTTCAGTTTCCACGAAACTTGCAAAATAAACAGCAAAGTTTTACGCACAGCGAGCATACTCGTCGCAGCACAAAATATTGCCATATTTCGTGACGAGTGCGCTCGCGAAAAACGGCTAACGAATCAACAGAACTTGCGAAACGCCCTTAAAAAAACCTAAAGTTTGGTTTAGGATCACGGTACCCGGCACATCGACCCTTATAACAGTTCGACCCAGCCATCGTCGGAAGCTATCGAATCCCTGACTGACGGTGTCCCTATTTTTCCAGGAGAGCGAGATATACCAGAAGTGCGTGCGACCGCCGCCAAACCGGACGGTGTTCGACAGCGAGAGCCCGCCGCCTTACAGGAGCCAATCGGCGTTGTTGGACGCGCCGGACCGGATAGTCCGTTGCCACAGCGCTGGCAGTTCGTTGCTGAGGGTGTTCCGAAAGTTCCCGAGTCCCGGCAGCTCGACACCGGCCGTGGTGGTGCCGCCGAGGAGGCCGACCCTGTCCAGTTATTCCGAGTCGAGCAGCAACCTGAGCAACCTGTCCAGCCTGACGGTGGTGCCGTGCGAGGCGGACGAGAGCCAGCAGCAACAGCACCACCACCACCATCAGCAGCACGTCTGATCCGAGGCGCGGCCGAGAAGAAGGAGAACACTCGAGGCCACGATGACAGCGGGGAGAGAGTTCCTGCTCGAGGTCGACGGTCGTCGAACAAGGATCTCGTGGAAGCGGCGACGAGCCGGCGGCGGCGGCACGGACCAAGCGAAACGGAACAAGGAAGAAGCTGACGACGAGGGCGAAGCGCGAGCGAGACGCGAAGAAACCGCGGCGGAACAAGGAGAGCAGGGGGACGAAGGGGAGGAAGACGGGGGGGAAGGGGAGGAAGACGATGCTGACGCCGAAGCTGGAGAAGACGTGACGAAGAAGGACGCTGGAATCGTCGCCGTCGTTCTGCCCTCGAGAATCCTCGAGGCGTCGAGGATCCCTCAAGACTGACTCGCAGGAGAAACTTCGGCCAGCCGATGCTGCTGCCTGCCTCCTCGTCCCGCGGGCGAACAAGCGGATCGGCCGCGCGGGTGCGCGCGGCTACCGCCGCTAGCTCCGGGGGAGACCAACAGAGAAATCAGAGAGAGAGAGAGAAAGGAAGAGAGAGAGAGAGAGAAAGAGAGAGAGAGAGGACAAAGTGAATTCGGATGATGATCCTCCTACACGACCGGCAGTGAATGGTACTCCAACGTGTTTCGGGACGGAGAACAATGTTCTCACAGTGAAGTGGAGACAGAGAGGAGAGGAAGAGAGAAAAGGGAAAAAGTGGCGGGGAAAAGAGGGGGCGAGGGGGTGGGAGAGGGGAACTGGGCTGCTTTCGGGTGTTGCGGGTCGGTCCTCCGATAGCTTCCTCGATGCTCGTCGCCCTGACAGCGGTCCCGAAGAGAGGCCAGTCTCGGAGCCTAGATCTCAGACAATTCCAAAGCACTGAAAACCGCGCGAGAAACGGTGTGTCGGGTTAGTCAGCGACACACGGACGGTGGGCCGGCCGGGGACGCGAGCGTCTTTCGCAAGGGGGACGCGAAGGCAGGCCTAGCAGACGAACGCGGATCGAGGAGACTCGCTCGCGTTCACGCTCGGAACCCCGGCACCTCGCTGAAGGATCCCTGTTCGCGACGAGCTTCTCCCGTCCTCCGGGCGCCGCAAGACCGGGCGGCAGGATGGACGAGAAGGTGGAAGGAGATGAGAAGAGGACGAAGCAGAAGCATCGTGCGGCAAGCAAACGCGTGACCTACCGGACGATCGATCATCGAGTGGAAGTTTGTTCTCTGCGACAAAAGACTTAGTAAATTATTTATTGGCGATAATTCGCGTGCGAGGCCTGCGCTCTATCGACGCGGCGAGAGCGAGCAGGCGGGAGGAAACGAAAAACGGGGAGGGCCCGGGGTCGCGTCCGGACGCCTCGGGTCGTCGTTTCGGGTAAATAACGAATGCGGTGTGCGTGTCGGTATGAATGACAGACGAAGCCCCCACCCCCGCGATCGGGTTCGGACCGGTCGCGAGATACGTACGAGAGGAAACAGAACGAAGAGCGTGCAGGCGCCCGCGCGCGCTTGCGGATACGACAGTAGACGGGTCTGGTTCGCGTGTGTGTAAGGCTAACGAGCGTGTGCCTGCGAACGAGCGAGCGAGCGAGCGAGCGAACGAGCGAGAGAGAATCAGAGGAAAAGTAGTGCCAAGAGCGTAAAAAAAGAAACTCTGTACATATTAGGTTAGGTAGTTCAATATCAATATAATTATTACGACTAAAAATGATATGCTATATACTGATTAAAAGTAATACCTTACACCACGCATAAACACGAGTTGACGCGCCGCGAACCGCTTCGGGACGCGCGGACACCTCGGCGAGGCGCCCGGAAGAATCGATGCTCCACGAGGAGAGGCCCTTCGCTCGGGATTTCCCATAGGAACATCTAATTACGAGCCGTTCGAAATCATGCCGAGCTTCTATCGACGCTTCGTCTGTTCTGTCGCCCGCGCGCAACGATCGATATGCACAGCGAGATCCGAAACAGAAGAAATTAGAAATTATCTAATTTCTCGATGGCTATAGACTGCGATACTTCGCGACACGACTTTCATCCACGCGCTGACTGCCGTACCTCGAAGATATTTATTCAATACGACATCCGAGTTTCAAGATTTAAGATCTAAAACCGGAACGTAACGATAAAGATTAGCTTTTAAAAGAAGGATTGCAGTCAAGCTGTTGATAATTTTAGTGTCAATATTCTTCGATTCTCTTAGTCTTTCTACCGTTTGTCACGTTCAGTGTCGAACATCAACTCCAAAAAATCCCACGTAGAAAATTAAAATTTGCCACAGGTTTAATTAGTTGAACTCTTTTGCATTGTAGAAATATTTAGTAATGTTCGGTTTGTTCGATTATGTCGCAATAAAAATGAATTACCAAGACTTGGTTAAGAGTCTTAAAGGTCGGTAAATGGCACTTAAATGTCGCTTACCGATTGTTGAAGTCCGCAGTCTAGCGATGGACGTCTGACCCGTAGATTATTGTTTCGACGAGAAAAGGATCTTAGCCTGGCTATCGACGCAGCGAGCGGGAAACATTGATCGGGAATAGATATTGGTATTCACGTTTTAGTGATTGGTATCGGCCGAGAAGACTAGTCCGCCGGTAGAGAAGGAAGGGAGATCGATTCACCGGGAACCGGAAGTCCCGAGGAGCTGCGCGCCCTGCCGCGTTTCCGATGGCTCGCACGATGTCTGATATAACGCTACTTTATTATTATTCAGATAGATAAGGCTTCAGTTTTTGACGAAATAGGACGAGATCTGCCTTGACGACGAACCGAGAGTCGACGAGCTGCTCCGTTACACTCTTTTTCTACGTTCTCGAATCCAGTCGATTCTGTACATTTTCAATCAATTCACTGACGGCAATACTGGGAACCTATTGACACGTTGATTGCCGCGACGGTCATACATGGCTGACATAATTTCTTGCTCAGACTAGAAAATTAATTTTTACGCAGGAGCAAAAATTTGATTAGGGTCCCCTAAGGATATCGACGAGTCTGACAAATTTAACTTTATCGGTTGGCTGCGGATTTTTTTATTTATACAGTTTGAGTCCTCGACGGTCGCCGGTCGGTCGGGATAGCTTAATTGGTTAACCCTTTGGGGCACTGGATTTCAGAAAATAAAATAGTCCCTTGTTGCACAGAAATTTCATTGCGTTTTAAATGAAACAAAATTAGTATATTTTTATTGTCAAAGGGATCACATGATATAAAAACATAAGAAAAAAATAATAATTTAATTTAATTTGTTGTTATAGGGTGGAACTCGAATAGTCCCACCGTGCCACATGGGTTTACGAACCCATTTAAAAACGTCCTCATTTATTATATGATATCATTTTATAAAAATGTCCCACTATGCATTACCGTGCATCCAACAGATGGGACATTTTTAATCCCAGCATGCCTCGAGCGAAAGATCCGGTCCCGACCTGTCCGATCGACTAATTTTGTCCTACATTTACGCAGCTTCTGTTTCGAACACCGTTCGGCAGTCGACGTGTTCAACTTTGCAGTATCTCTGTCAGGCAAAACGTTTCCGACTTTTCTTCAATTCAAAGCAGCGAGCCATGTTTCGTATTACTTTGGCGCATAAACGAGTACCTATCGATGTTAACGCGAAGCCGAGAATCGCGGTGAAATTAGTTTACCGTAAGGAGAGCTTTATTAGTGCAATTCGAAGGAGCCAACCAGCAACGAGATTCCCGAACACAGGATTT